TCAGCAGGGTTGGGAGCAATTAAAAACAACTGTCAGAGTACGTGTACCTATCCAGTTGTGGGGCCACCTTATAGTAGCCCCATGTCGTTGTATAGAGCACTGATAAGACCTATATTTGAAATAACATGTACAATTCTGGATATCCATGTTCAAGAAAGATGAATTTGAGCTGAAACAGGTGCAGAGAAGGGCTACTAGGATGACCAAGGGAATGTAGGGCCAGAGGAGACTGGAGGAGCTTGGCTTGTTTAGCCTAGTAAGAAAGCTGAGAACGGACATAATTGCTCATCAGCAGCAGATATAAGAGGCTTGGGGAGGTTAAGCCACCCCAAATGGGGCGAGAAATGCTGGATGCGTCACACCTCCCTTTGGAGGCGTGCTGTCCTGCTGCCTTTACAGCACCGCCACTGGAAGCTCCCGAGGAGTGGGGGGGGGCACTGGCACCTGGACAGTGGCCCCATCTGTGTTCCACCCCAAGGACCTGTTCCTGCTCAGCTTCTTATAGGCCTTGGCTACACTTGAGAATTCACAGCGCTGCCGCGAATGTAGTCACGCCGCCAGCGCTGTGAGCGAGCGTGCAGCACCTCTCCAAGGGGAATAGCTTGCAGCGCTGTGAGCGAGCGTGCAGCACTGCAAGCGCTGATTACACTTGCGCTTTACAGTGCTGCACTCATGGGCGGAGGGCGTTTTCACACCCCTGAGCACAGCAAGTTGCAGCGCTGTATGGTGCCAGTGTAGCCAAGGCCATAGAATCATAGATTAGGGTTCGAAGAGACCTCAGAGGGTCATCTAGTCCAATCCCCTGCTCAAAGCAGGGCCAACACCACCAACTAAATCATCCCAGCCATGGCTTTGTCAAGCTGGGCCTTAAAAACCTCTAAGGATGGAGATTCCACCACCTATGGTTCCACCTAATACGATTCTATGAAATTCAGGCTGCAAATTAGAAGATTTTAACTCTGAGGAGTGAGGTTTTAGAACAGCTTCCTAATAGTTGGGGGGAGGGGGAGCAAACAACTTAGTTTTAAGAGAGAGCTAGATAAATTTATGAGTGCAAATGAATGATGGCCTGGCTTGTGCTGGTAGGGGCAGGACTCAGCAGCCTTAAGACTCATTTCTGATTTATGTGCCTAAAAGCTCATATGTCCAGGCTTCAGCCGGCCACCCTTAGGGTTCAGGAAGGAATCCCATGCCGCCAAGTGTATTTGGGTGAGTTTTTTTTTGTTTCCTTCCTCTGAAGTACCAACAATGGCCAGGTCGGGAGATGCGACAGTGGACCGCAGGGTCAGTACCCTGAGGTGCCACCGCAGAGTCTCTCTTGCAGGTGCTTGGCAGGCTGGTTCTTGCTGACACACTCAGGCTCTGATCGCCACACGTGGGGCCAGCAAGCGCTTTCCCCCAGTCCGATTGGCAGCGACTGTGGGTTTTCTGCAGGGCGCGCAGGCAGTGGGAGCGACCAGGTGCGCCAGTGCCCACGGTCCCTGCAATGGCAGGTCAGGGATGAAGTGAGGTAGACCCAGCTAATGCTGACCAGGGACCTGCACTCACGCAGCAACGCCGGGCGGCTGGAGACAGCCGCCGCCCCGCACCTCCCCCGGGAGCCGTTACACGCAAAAGGGGACGGAGCAGACGGGGCCACAGCTGGGCTCGGAAATGGGCGGGGCCAGAATAGGGGCGGGGCGGGGACAAGGCCGGCGGTGTATCGTTCGCACAGCATGCTGGGATTTGTAGGCCTGAGCTGCCCTGCCCACCCGGTTTCCCCCAGTGACCCTCAACGGCGGCAGGGGCTGCGCCTGGGGTTAGGCAGCCTCTGTGCCAGGGGTCGCGCCTCGCGGGGTAACTAGGAGACTGGGCCGCGACAGTCATCTCGGAAGGCGAGGAGCCCTCCCCCAAAGAACTACCACTCCCACAGTGCTCCGCGCGCCAGCGTAGCGGCAGCCTTCATAGGGGGAGGGGCAAAATGGCTGCGGCTAATCCGAGCAAGAGGAGTCGTGGCTGAGGTGAGTCTGCGAGGGAGAGGAAGCGCGGGGCGGAGGGTTGCGGGGCCGGGCTGAGGCGAAAGGCGGCGGTGGCAGCAGAAGCGAGGCTAAGGCGGTCGGGGTTGTGGCTCCGCACGGAGGCTGGGGCACTTCGCGAACGGTGCCGGCAGGCGGGTTCCCTGTTGGGAACCGGGGGAGGGGGTGAATAGCGTGCGGGGAGCCATGAGGCACCCCCCCCCCGAGCCTGTATCCTCAGGCCTGATACCCCGCCCCGCAGTTCCCGAGCTCCTGGTGTGCCGCACCCTGGGGCACCCAGCTAACCTTCACATAGCGTCCGCAAGCCGTGCGCGGCGCTCTGCGGGGCTGGGAAGTCACTTGGCGTGAAATCACGTCGCAGAGCGCTCGTGGTGTCACCAAACACCGGTGTGCGGGGCTGTGTTGCAAAGTTTGCGCTGGCTGCTAGCCGTCCTCCCCAGTCGTGCTGTGGCTTCCCCACGTCCATGTCCACAGCGAGTGACCGACCCCCGGGCGCTGCGGTGGAAAGGGGCATCAAACTCATCACGCAACAGCTCCCAGATACTGTGTTGTGATGTTTACACCGGCTCTACTAGTAGGATCAAATAGGCCTGTGACACTACTATGTCCCTTGGTACTGTAGTGTCTGGATGCAGGCCTGTGATCAGGAGGTTCTCTGTGGTTTTTTTTTTTTTAAGTGATATCCTGATATGGTATAAATATAGGTCTGTCTTGTGTAGTATTGACAAAACCCCATGATACAAATATTGTAGCATGCTGTCAAGCTGTGAATGTTCAGTGAATCCATTTAATGCTAACAAATGTCATTTGCTTGTCTGACACTCTTATGATGATTGTGTCATGGCAACACATGACAGTGAGGTGTGACCATGCAGATCTGACCTGTGTAGTGTTAAATGAAAGTTACACAATTTTGTTACTATCAGTAACTGTGTGATAGCTTTCCATCTATCTCTCTGGTGCTGGTGTATTATAGAGACTAAACTTGACCTTTGTGGGGAATGTGTTTATGGTATGATGGACTGCAGTACAGGGACTGTCTGTTGAAAGACTCTGTAAATAGGCACTAAAATGTTTACATAAAATTACTACTGAGAAATTACAAAATTGGGGGATTAAAATACGGATTGTAGGGCCATTACACTGGGAGAACTTCACTGAGTGAGACTTTAAATTGCTTTTGAAACACACTATTAAATCCTTCATAGGAGGAAAAGACACTCTAAAATCTGCCAAAATGAGTGAGTTGGTAGGTCTGTGATTGCTCATTCAGAAAAAAAAGTGTTAAAAGTGGGAACTGAAGATAATTAATTTGCAAATAAGATAGCATTTAAAAGCAGTGATTGATTTTCTAGTTTCAAATAGTATAATGTTGGAAGATGTTAAACTTCCTCCCCCATTTACCTCTCTTTCTCTTACCCCTATGCTAGTGTACCTTCCGCTTCAGGTCTAATAAAATGGAATCACTAAGAACATAAGAATAGCCATGCTGGGTCAGACCAATGGTCTATCTAGCAGAGTATCCTGTCTTCTGACAGTGGTAAGTGCCAGGTTCATTCAATGGAATGAATGAATGAACAGGGAATGGACAAAGGAGGGTAATTGTGTGATCCCCTGTGGTCCAGTCACAGCTTCTGGCAGTTAGATGTTTAGGGACATCCAGAGCATCGGGTGTGTCCCTGACCATCTTGGCTAGTAGCCATTCTTGGACCTATCCCCCATGAGCTTATCTAATTCTTTTTTTTTATAGGCCGTGGCTACACTGGCAATTCACAGCGCTGCACTTGCTGCACTCAGGGGTGTGAAAAAACACGCCCCCCTGAGCGCAGCGAGTGCAGCGCTGTAAAGCGCCAGTGTAATCAGCGCCTGCAGCGCTGCACGCTCGCTCGCAGCGTTGCAAGCTATTCCCCTCGGAAAGGTGGAGTACTTGCAGCGCTGCGAGAGAGCTCTCGCAGCGCTGGCGGCGCGACTACACTCGCGCTTCACAGCCTTTGTATGCCGCAGCAGCGCTGTGAATCCGCGAGTGTAGCCAAGGCCATAGATTTGTCCTTCACAACAGCCTGTGGCAATGAGTTCCACAGGTGATCTGTATGTTGTGTGAAGAAGTACTTCCTTATGTTTTGGACCAGGAATCACCCAGTGAAATTAACAGGCAGCAGGTTTTTGTGTTACATGAAGGGGTAAATAGCGCTTCTCTATTCACTTTCTCCACGCCATTTTTCCCACTCAAATACAGACTTCGCTCCAAGGGTGGGGGAGTGGAGAAAATCCTCTTGGGGCAGAGATAAAATACCGAAGAATCTCACAATCAGTTACTTGTTTGTAGTGGGCTAACTATGAAGAAAACTTTCTAACTATAGGACTAGATTACTATGGTAGGTTGTATAATCCCTGGCATTGGAGGTTTTTAAGAACAGGTTATATAAAGACCTGTCAGAGATGGTATAGATGACCTCTTGAGGTTCCTTGCAGCCCTGAATTTCTGTGACTCTATGAAGGAAATTGTTTACGTTCCTAACTGCAGTGGGTGCTAGTAGGTGTCCACATTAGTAACACTGATGACTTTCAGATTGGTTGGTGTATCAGAGACCTGTTAAGGAAATATATTGCCATTGTTCTGGCTCCATAAGCTTTAAAGGAAATGAAAATAAACTGTTTCATGAATTTTGTGCCATGTAACATTGTATTTTGACATCACTAAAATGGCTAATGATAGGGGGGTTTACATAAAAATGTCTATGACTAGAATTAGCATAGTTTAGCATAGAAAGCAAAAGTAAGTAGATGACAGCTGTTCAAAGAATCTTAAGCAATTCCAGTAGTATATTTTGTTCCAAAATGTGTGATTTCCCTCTAATCAATTTATATCATTTTTATGTGATTAAAATATATAAATGGTATTTTTATCAGTGCTTTCAGTTGATTTTATTTTAATATGGTGCTTCTCTACTATTTTATGCTGATAGCTAAATTCTGAGGTGGCACTTTCAGAGATGGGCCTTTCTGAGAGAAATGGAAACTGATGGCTGGAATACTGAATAGCGTAGGAGCATCATATCAGGGTGAAATAAGATGATTGCCAGTACTATGGCACTTTTAGGCTTCTTTTTTTGTGGATGAGCATGTTAGCTTTGTGACTGTCAACTACATGGGGAAAACTTTCCTTTTTACCCACTTGTTTCATACATTTTTCTTGCCATGTTTCATAATTATTGAAGATTTGTTTAAAAATGGGCTTGTTAGTTTTCAATCAGTTTTCTTTTGAATTGATTCTGCAGCATACAAAGGCTGCATTTGTGATAGTTTCCATGGCAACAGTGTCATAATATTTGTACATATATATCAGTAGTACCTATTGAGGATCTCTGTCTGCTTTCCAAAAAAATACATTTAGCCTCACAAATACCCCTGGGTGACACATTATCTCAATATTGCTGATGGGGAACTTGAAGAGAGGTGAAAGGCAAAATGTACAAGTGAACAGTAATTTTGAATTATTCAGTTCTTGGGTACCCAACCTGAGCTGCCTACTGCCTGATTTTTCAGAGGTACTGAGCACCTATATCACGATCTTTATTTGGACTTAGGGGCTGTTCATCCCTTCTGAAAAAGAACCCTAGAAATCCCAAGTTGGGAAATCCAAAATTAGTGTCTCACAAGGCTTGTGAAAGAGCTGTTAATAAAAATACAGATCTGCCTGCCGTTCCTGTATCTGAATCACAATACTGTATTTCCTCCCACAGACTCAGGATTGTGACTTTGTTGTGGGATCAAATAGACTAGTTGGTTAAGGACAGGAAAAGAAGGAAGGAAGTATTACTATTCCTCCCGACCGTCTCTCACACATTTCAAATTAACATAGCAATTTCTAGTTGGCTGATTGGAGGCTGAGCCTAGAGCTATAATTACTGGGCATTGCACTGATTGATTTACTTCAGCCCAAAGGCTGTAATAATTCTCCTGGAATGTATGGCAACAGGAGGGGAGATTGAATCTGGAATTGTGGAATATGGTATGTGACATTTTTAGCTTGTAAGAGCCCACCTCGCACTAACCTGCTGCAGAGCTCTTTTGGTCTTCCAGGGCATGCTGATCAAAAGACTGTAACAAAGTCAGTGTTTGTGGCTTTCTAGAGTTTGCGTAGCAGTTATTTTCAGGTGGATGGGGTCTGCCAGCACAGACAATAATATTAATTGATTGGAATATTAAATATGTTCTTCACTATGCATAATGAAAAAGTCTATAAAAATAAATGGTATTGTGGATTTATATCAAATTTGGTGTGGTTAAAAGTTAAAGAATGGCTTTTCTAACTGCCTGTCCTTCAAATTCAACCTGGGATCTGACAGTAAAGCTGTGCTCTTTCTAACTCTCATACCAATTTTAGTCACTTGTCAGACTAGAACAGCATTCTGACAGAGTCATACCTCTAAGCATATGTCTTCACAGCAACTAGACACCCATGGCTGGCTTGTGCCAGCCAGCTCAGACTCACGCCAGCTGACCGACCACAGCTGCGGGGCTGTCTCACTGCTGTGTAGATGGCTGGGCTGGGGCCCGGGCTCTAGGACTCTGCAAGGTGGGGAGTCCCAGAGCTTGGGTTTCAGCCTGAGCCTGGAAGTCTACAGAGAAATGAAACAGCCCCACAGCCTGAGGCCTGCTAGCCCGAGTCAGTTGGCATGGGTCAGCCGTGAGGTGTGGGTTTTTTTGTTTGTTTGCTGTATAGACATACCCTAAAGCTCTTTGCTTAAAACTGAAAGCATGTACACTTCACACATCATAATCATCAAACACGCATAGTCTACTGAGGACTGTTGCGTTAGCCAGAGCGAATAGGTTGATGGTGTCATGTGTAAGAATGACAATCTGGATAAGACTAATGGTCCATCTAGCCCAGTATCCTGTCTTTTGGCAAATACCAGTGCCAGGTGTTTCAGCGGAAATGGACAGAACAGGGTAGTTATTGTGTGGTCCAGTCCCAGCTT